AAGTGCCAGCGCACGGAGATGCGGGGGCAGGGACAGGACCTATTTCCCCGGGTCCGGAGCGGGCGTTGTTCCGGAAGGTGCAAGGAGGAAACGTGCCATTTTTCATGAGAAATCCGGGGACGGGAACTGCCCCTGGAGCAGCCCTTGGGGCAGAGCCAGCCCCTCTCCCGGGGCAGGCAGCGAGCTGGCCTCCGCCGCACCTGGCCGCGCACCGCGGGTACCTCTCGTCCTCCGCTCTCCTTCCACATCTCCCGGGAGCTTACGGAAACCGCTTCCACATCTCCCTCCCCGCCAAAGCGACACCCCCGCACCACAAGAAAACCAGTCCCATCCCAAGTTCCCGAGCACTATCTCTGTGCTCTGTCACGACGGGGCTCCGCGCCTCCCGCAGCCCCAGCTCGGTGGTGGCGGCAGGTAACGCTGGGAACTGGGAAAGAGCCGTGGGGGTCGCAGCCCGATCCTTACAGATGACAGGGAAGGGCAGACTGTGCGTGTGGCGGACGGCGGCCACAGCTACTCGACAGTGGCTGAAATAAGCATCCCTCAGCTAGCTTTTTCTCCAGGAAAATATCAGAGATCAGCTGAACAAGGAAGGAAAGCTCCTTGCCGTGAAATATGCTGGATGAGAACTGGCCTTCCCTTCACCTTTGACTGGGTTCGCAGGGAAGGTCTCTAAGTCTCTCCACAGCCCCGGCTGGCCAGTACTTCACCGAGACTTCAGCCGCTCAGTAAAGCCTAGCTTCTTCTCCCCCCCGCCCCGCCCCAGCGGGGGAAGGGCCCACAGAATCGGGTTCTAAAATAGCTTCAGTAAAAAAGACAAGCGCGGGCCCACGATGTTGAAATACTCTGAAGTGATTACAATCTCAGGTTTACTTGGCTTCATCAAGTACTTCTTTAATTAGGAAGCAGGAAAGCTCTTTTCCCTAAACCGTGCCTTTTCGAAATAGCCCATTATCTCTCCCTCTCTCGCTTGTGTTTTAAATCTTGTCAATGTGCGAAAGGACCGAGGAGTTCAACATCTCAAAGCTCACACTTCGGGTAAAAACTACTTTCTTTTCCAATATCCATAGGAATGCATGCATATATGGCTCATTTATTTTTATTTTTATTTCTAAGACCTAAAAATAATTCTTTCATTAAAAAATGGTATTTTAAAAAAATTATAATGTTTCATGAGATTTAAAATAGAGGTCAGTTTAACCATTTTGCATGCACACACACACCCCGCAAACAAACACACGCAGAGAGGCAGACTGATTGAGATTTGTTTCAAAGCAGACAAATTCTCTTTTAGGCCAGTTTCTGATGCGAGAGAGTTATAGTTTTAAGTTTCTCTATTTTCCATTCCCTCTACACAAAAAAAAAAAAA